CACACACACACACACACACACACACACACACACACACACACACACACACACACAGATCAAATCATTCACAATCCGCTGCTGAAAAATCTATTGAAGCCTCCCATGTTGCCATTTTTAAAGGAACAGCGCCCTCTGCTGGACAAAATCAAACCTGCAGCATCAGAGAGTCTAAAGCCACAGGGCTCGTCTGTTTACATTTATTATTAATAATAATATTTATACTCATAACTCATTATTATTCACTGACATAACATTCCACTCAGTGAGGCTGAGCATTTATAAACTGAACCTTTCATTCCTGCATGTGTGCAGAGCTGACCGCTTCTACAGTCGGAAACAATAAACTCAACTTCACATTCATCACATTACTTGTTTTATTTTACTAAGAAGGTTGTCTGCAAGCTGCTGAATCATAGCAGCAGGATGTGCCCACAGGTGTAGCTAATACTTAACATATCTATAAACTTTAGATATATGTTTCAGGATCTAATTGATCAACAGTGCTGTGGTTCTGTAGCTTAGAGGCACAAGAGGAAAAACTCTGCATTTATCCTGAGTTACATACAGAAATATTATCTGTTACACTTCTCTCTAAAGTCTTATATCTTCTACTTTTTTGTCCCTTAAAAAGCACATTTAGAAAGTTTGTTACAGTTATAGCACTCAACTACAATGGAGTATTAGGGCCACACAACGAGATTTTATTATTATTATTATTATTATTATCATCATCGTCATCATCATCATCATCATCATCATTATTATTATTGTTGTTGTTGTTGTTGTTGTTGTTGTTATTATTACAGGATTAAAGTCATAATATTATGAGAATAAAGTCGAAATATTACGAGAAAAAAAAGTCATAATCTTACATTATGTTTCCATTTTCCATTCCTCATTTCCTCCTTATTTTCCTCACACAGCCATGTGTCTGTGTTTATAAAGTAGTCCATGATGACCCGGATCACTGTTAGATTAATATGCTTTCATCCAAATTAGCTGACGACTAAATCTGTCAATGTATCCATTAATTACAGCTTCAGTTTATAGTCGTTGGCACAATTTCCAGGTCCTGCTACTAATTTAATGCCAATGTGCTAAAATATTAACTATTTGTTTTAAGCAACAGGCTTACTAAAGAACAACTTGACAAGTTACTCAACATTCCTCATTTTAATGCAGTGATAACTGCATGCTTTTTCATGTAAAGGCTAGAATATTACGACTTTATTCTCATAATATTACGATTTTAATCTCGTAATTTTACAACTTTAATCTCGTAATATTATGACAATGCTTGTAATTAAAAAATAAATAAATAAATCTCGTTGTCTGGCTCTAATACTCCGTCGGACTCAACCACAATGGTGGCTAAAGTTTATTTTTTTTTGTATAATTTAGTTTTACTGTTAGTCTATCATATGTACTCTGCTGTAACAAGGATTCAATTAATCCCTTTATAATCAGTAGATGAAATAACACAGTTACTGTCTTCTGTGTCCATTATTCTTCTATTATCTATGATCACACAGCTATGGTTTTTATAATTATTAGATGAAAAGATAAATAAAGTGATGATAGGGCAGAGGTGAAAGTTTCAGTCAAACTTCCTTCAAACCTGACAACATACTGTACAGGTGCCATTTTTATCATGTATAGCAAAATCAAACTAATGGTCGGACATTAGAAAGTCTGGAAAAACTATAATGATCAGAGATTCTAGTCTAAAAATATCTGATTAGTGATGTGAGACATTTATTATATTAAGATAAAGTCAGGATTTATCAGCTTCAGTCTTCCTCTCACTCACTTCGCTCTCCTACATCGCTGCTTGTCGTTTCAACCTTTTTTTATTTCACACCTTCAAATCCTTCTCACTTCCAGCGAGTCATGTTAACTTTTACTTTGTCACATCCCTCACTGACTCTGATGGTTTGTGGCAACAAGGGGAGCAGCTTCCATGTCACGTGTGTCTGAGGATACAAGACGAGCAACAAAAACAAGCAGATCTGTGCTGACAGGCGAGGATGACGTTGTAGATTCTGTTATAGAGTTGTTTGCTTTACCCGAGCAAAGATGTTGATGTCTTCTCACTTCTGTTAAAGCTTATTCTTAAAAAAAAAATTAAAATTAAAAAGCCAACCTATGGAAAATATTATGCAAGTGTTTTCACTGTCCCTGTGCAGAAAGTTTCTTTACTGTCAAATATATGAAACACCCCTTTAACATACAGAGACCAACAATAAACTTTTATTGATATGCTGATTATTAACTTGGTATTTTCAGGTGAGTTTTCTGACACCTACAAGGAAAATAAAGACATATAAACACACGTAAACATTGTCTGGTTTAAAGATGCAGTTTTCTGGTGTAGAAATGCTCTCAGTCTACAGTGGTTGCACAAAGGCCAGATCCAGTGTTTGGTTTGTGCTGAATGTGCTCCTTGAGTCTCGTGTTCACGTGTCAATGCCTGTGATTATAGTGTCATCTTTGTGAAGCCACTGCCCTGTTTCCTTCATCCCTCTCTGTCATGAGACATTAATGTTAAACAAAAAGATTCTTTTACATAAAAATGAAACCCTGTAAAAAATGTTTAAGACAGTTATTTTATATCTGTTTCTTTTTCTTTCTTTCTTTTTGTAAACAAAATGGTTGGGATTTCTTTCTATTAAGTGGTCATCCCACTGTTTCCTGTATATTGACTATAAAGACTTGTTTTAGACTCTACACAGCTGTTTGTGTTCCTTCACTCATGACAGCCACATTTGTGTTTATGCGTGTGAATATATAAGACCAAAAGTTTGGACACACCTTCTCATTCTTTAAATGAGAAGGTGTGTCCTTCTCATTCTTTGGTAAATAAAGTTTTCTTTATTTTTATGACTATGAAAATTGTAGATTCACACTGAAGGCATCAAAACTATGAATTAACACATGTGGAACTATATACTTAACAAAAAAAGTGTGAAACAACTGAAAATATGTCTTTTTAAATACGTCCTTTTGCTTTGATTACTGCTTCACAGACTCTTGACATTCTCTTGATGAGCTTCAAGAAGTAGTCACCTGAAATGGGCTTTTACTTCACAGGTGTGCCCTGTCAGGTTTAATAAGTGGGATTTCTTGCCTTATAAATGGGGTTGGGAAGAAAACCTCTGACACCTCTAGTAAAAGGTTCATCATTTTCCTCTGTCTGCTTCAGTGCTCACTTTGAGGTCCTCCCTCTGCTGGTGAACTTCAGGTATTACACATACAAACCTCAAATCTTATCAGTGAAAAATGGTGATGGGACCTTTCTTATGAACAAAAAGTTAAAACTTCTCCACAATGTGAGTACACGTTTAAGGGTAGAATTAGGCTATCACAATGGTGTGAGCTGATCTTTATATATGTTAT